CCCCCCCCCCGGAACACAATACCCACCTTCGTGGAACACAACCTCTGCATTAAATACGCAACTGCTGCCGTAATCGCAGAACTGCCAGTCTAAACCTCGCTCATCTTGTCTTTTCTCTGTTTGTGGCTCCGCGTTTTTTTCTCGCGTTGCTCTCTTCGGCTCTCGCAGCGGAGAGCAGGGCACGAAGGAACCTGGTCGGCGGTACGGGCGATGGGGGCGGCGGCGGCGGTGGCGGCGGCAGGAGGAGAGGCCTCGCGAACGATTGCGCGACTCAGATGTGGATCCTGGCGGACACCGGGGCGGTCGAGGAGGAAGGATTCCCTTACTGTGAGTCGTGCTCACATGGCGACCGCCGCCGTTATCGGTCTCGGTTCTGTCTGCTGTCTGTGCATGTGGGCCGGAAGAATTGCGAGCGGTGGGCATGAAGCAAGGCCCAATGTTGCACGTTTGTATGTGGTGATCCTTAGGAGGCGGAGGGTAGCACCACTGCCCCAAGCCGGTCGTGTGAAGTATCTACGTGATGGTAGGAGTGGCCATTCTACAAAGATTGTGTTTGCTTTTTGTGTGGCGGCACTGCGCGAAACGGTTTGTAGCCGAGGTGGGAGGAAACCTTGGCATTATAGTGGACGTTGTCCTCCGGTTGGACGGCCTTCTTGGCTTCGATCGCCATCGAGTAGCAAGAAGAAACCAGACGCGAGTGGAACCTCTCCAATCCGTTGTCGGTTCCCCAGATGAACTATTGACCTAGCCTACGTCCTAGCGACGGGTGCTGTCGACGCGTGTTGTTGCTGAAGAAGGAAGGAAGCCGCACCGTTTTTTTTTCGCCGAACACCAATGGTCTCTCCCGCTCCTAGACCTACATGGACCAATGGATGCAGGAACAAAGCTTAGGGTCAAATTCAGGACCGGGGACATAGGCCTTCGAGAACGTCGACGAAGACATAGGACGGTAGACGACGAAGACGACGAGTTCAAATGTGATTGCGGCTTCGAATGCGAAGACCGTGTTCATGTAGTCGCGGAATGTCCGTTGTACAAGAAGGAGAGGGAAGTGTACGTGACTGAGCTGGGAAAAATAGATGGGACGTACAGGGCATGGAATAGAGCGGAAAGGACGGTAGCTATACTGGGGCATAGGAGGTGGGTTGAATAGGCGGGAAGG